AAGGAACAGCCATAAGGGGTTGTACGCAATGGTGACGTAGGACTAGGTGGTCTTATAAAATAAATGTTATTTGTTAACTGCAGCAGGAGCTTGTGTTTTGTGTAGGGGAATAGAAATTTGAGCGGGGTTCTCTCTGTTTTTACTCTTTAGTATGACTATGATTGGCTAAAAAGAACCTTTTGATATGCCTTTTAGTTGGGCAGTTGGAGGCAGCATGCATAGCTAGCTGCTTGGCGTGGAGCCTTTCGTTGTGTGCTGGAGAACACCACCACTCATCACGCGGTGATTGAATAAACACCGTTTGGTGAGACCGGATGGAATTCAACTTTGAAATCTGTGTTAGGGAAATCGCTTTTCGCAAACGGTGATAATTTTAATTATCATAGCAACAGTTGCACATTTTCAATAGCGACATTTTGAAAAATGATAACTTTAACAGATGCGTAGAAATATGTCTGATCATTTGGTGATAAAATTATTGAAATTGGTCCAGGGGCAGCTGAGGTATTAACGTTCAAAATCTTACATAATTTCGTTACATGTTCCATTTTTGGTTTTCACAAAGTGTACCCCCATATAGAAATCACAGACGTAGTCCTACGTCAAAAATCAGCTCACGTGAGGAAATCATCGAAGCCGCGGAGGAGTATTTTACAGATCTTCCGGAAAATTACTTTTCGGACGGGATCATGAAGTTGTAAAATCGCTGGAATAAGTGTATCGAGCTGAAAGGGGACTATATTGAATAAAATAAAAAAACATTAAAAAAAATCATTCTCAAGGAGGTTACTTTTCACCCCACCTAGTAATTGAATAACGAAGAGTATTCTGTACTCGTTTTCTACCTCGATTAGTATTAAATAAACAATTTACATTATTTTGAAAGCCTTTCGACGAACACATTGGTGAATCGGTTCATGTCGCAAAACATTTCAAATTCTGCATACTTTTCATGCAAATCTGTAATAGAATCTTACATTTCCCGGTTCTAATGGAACTTAGAACAAGTTCAAGGAATTTCGAAGAAGTTTAGAATTTATCTTAGAAGTTAAGAAAAACTTTGTAGACGTTCAATGAAAATTGCAAGAGTTATAATTGATTCGTTCAAATTCAACATACTGGGTTTGTTTGAATTTATGGAACTGAGTTTAAGGTCTAGAAACTAAATGGAAATAGAGGAGCCTTTGGTAGCATTTTATAGAATTTTCGATAACAATGAAATTCTCTGGATGTTTTTCAGTACATTATTATTGTTCTGATAGGAGAAATGGCTCTAATATTGGCCTATGAATTTAAATATTGAGCCTTCGATGATTTCTCATGATTTTCAATTTTTCTTAGAACAATGCGTCATCTGCACAAAACAAATGGATATTTTTGTTAACTAGTAAACAATTGGCAAATAATGGTTTCCTTCGAAATGTATGTATGAGCTCAACATTCGGGACACTTGGGCCGACATCAGCATGAGCATGAGCATGAGAATTGACGACCATATATTTCAGTAGTTGCTACCAGATTTAGCGAAATTTGCACAAAGAACCATATGAATGGGGCTTGGGACTAGCAATCCATTCTCAGTGTACGAAATCCGGAGAATCCATATTTTTAAGGTGAGGGAAAGGATTGTTATTTCAACAACCGTTGCTACTAGAGACCGAGTATACCTCTGCATCACCACGGTTGTCACATGAAGGACGTTTTTGTTAGTGGGAAGGGAAATTTAGATCCGGATTCACATTGAAAAGTGATGCGCCCTTTTAAAACCTGTTAAGCAAATGACGCGACCCTATCAACTCAGTAATTTAAAGAAGCTTGGGTTTTAACCCACGATCTTCTGCTCAGTAAGCAAAAACGGTCGCTCTAAGGCCACCGTGCCCCTTACATTACAACAAGCTACGACCGATGATCGTTCAGTATCGGTTACAAGAAGCTATTGAAATAAAATTAAAGCATCCAAAGTAGTTAACAATGTCTTCCGAACCGATACAGACGTACGTCACATTTGTCTAAATATGTTTATTACTTTTCTGAATTGTTCCTCCAATTTCTGTTATTAACGATTCGCTCTGGATATATTAACTTAGTAATGTAATGAGGTTTGGGTTTTAACTCATGAAATTCTACTCATTAAGCAAAACCAGTTGCTCTATAGCCACCGTGCCCCTTACATTACCACAATCTACTACCGACTCAACAAAAAGTTATTCAAATGAAGCGACGTCTCTGAAAGCAGCCAACAATGTCTTCCAAACTGGATCACGCATACACCCTTTCCGAAATTCATGGTTTAAACTATTCAACTTTTGGTTATTAACTACGCTTTGTGCTTTTGGAACCCAACGATGGTGGTTTATTCTGTTGAGGGAGAGCTTGGGAATAAACCCATGATATTCTGATCACTAAGCAAAACCGCCCTTCTAAGTTGAGAGCACGCAATAAGCTAATAGGCGATAAGCAATAAGCTTCAAATGCGTAGAAGAAGGACATGACAGTTACGTTCATGAATGGAAAGTGTGTTTTCAACAAATGAAAAATTAAGGTAAAGCATTCTTACTCGTGAGATTGTATCTAAAAAAATTAATTACTCAAATAAGGGTATTATTCAATTAGCAGCTGTCATCCACAACTGAAATTTTATAAACCTGCTAATCTATCTGATTTCATCATACCTATTAAGCGCAACGCTTTGGCTGTATTCCATAGAAACGTATTTTTCACTTTTAGGACCACAATGCAATTATGAACAGAAGCAAATAAATGAGCTAGTTATGATTTCATATAATGAGAATCCTGCCCAGAACATGTGTAAAATAACATAAAAATATTATTGTGCCATCGACGTGAAGGAATTAAAAAAAAATCACATTGATTTTCCACCAGAAAAAGCTCAAAGCTACCACTCATCTGGTCATATCTCAAAAACTATCTGTCCAAATCCCTTGCCCTTGGAAACACATCAAGTAGAAGAGTTTTCCAAAGTGTGAGCCCAAAATATTAAGAAATAGAAAATCCCGCCCATGGTGAAAATAAGCCATTTTTGACCATTTTCTTACCTGCCGTTAATCAGTATGTTTACTGTACTTACTATAACACAAACAAAATGTGGGTTAAACTATGTGAATCTTCATTAAAAAACCATCAAATTGTTTGAACGTCAATTTCACGTTGTTTGATCACGAATAGCTTATTTGATTGTGGAGTAATCTTTCTGAAAGATGATTTTTTTTAATCTCGAAAATTCAGGGTTGTAGTCTAGAGGGATGTAGGCACTTCATAACAAAATCAAAAAAGACATTTGTTCAGAATGCCAAAATAAGAGTTTTGGCCAAGTTTGGCTCAAATCGATGACATCGACCACAGGTGGTGTACCCACATGAGCTGGAATGACCCGTATATGGTAAGTTTTCTTGGAAGCACTTGAAAGATCTCCAGCTCATCGAAGATTACTGGATAGTTTTTCAACACTTTAGGTTATTCACATAATACTCTGATGATCTCAAGCTGATCAAAAATTAAAATTTTAAATGATAAAATTAAATAATAAATTATTTTTTTGTTATTAGAGGATTAAGGACTGTTCAGTTTCTAAACCGAACACTTACTTTCAGTCACAACTTGTTTATTTGATGCTTGATGCTATCTTCGGCAAGTATGAAGCTCTGCTTAATAATAAACATTATTTTGAAACAGCATATAATTTTTACGAAATTTAAAATCACATGTACTCTAAAATGCATTTTTTTAAATCAATACATATATAACTAGAACACCAGATAAATATTTTAAATTTCAGCTCTTCTAAACAATGTTAAACCAGAGACAAACCAGCCCAAGGCTGAAAGTCTCTTAAATAAAGAAAAAAAAAAAAAAAAAAAAAAACAATGTTAAACACCTACTAACAAAATTGTAGAACAAAGTGTATGATCGATTTCGCAACATATATCGGTGTAATTTTTCATCCCAGGTTTGCAACACCAGAAAACTAACTAATTTGTCTCAATAATTTCGATACTCTTCTCAATCCAAACAAATGTAAACAAATTAAAGCTTTTTGCAGCTTTGGAAAAATCGAGCAATTGTTGTTTTCTATACATTTTGCCATACAAACTTTAAAGTACTCCCGCAAACCAGAACGTAAACGAGTTCGTTAAAATTTGGCTCAGTTGTATGGAATGGTAAACTTCAATCAAATTCATTGGAAAAAAAACATACCTTTCTAATGAATGATATACTCTGCAACGATGTAACAAAATATCAAGACCGACAGTAAATTAATCGTATTCCAAATGACCCGCATAAATCCATCAACCAACCCACGCGATGACAGCTTTAGGCATTATTTCTTGGGATAGACACTCTCTCTCTCATTTTAAAATCCCCCTTTACAGCCCACGCCACTTCGAAATAGGACATCACGCCGCAAGAAAAATATACACGAAACATAAAAGGGGACCAACCGGTCCTTTGTACATTGAAAGAAAAAAAAAAATGCGAACAATGTAAAACAAAGCCAATCCCTGAAGGCAATTTGCGGTTTCAATCCCCTTGTTATGGTTATCATTGTAGAACCGCTCCCACCCAAACTCTCCCGTACAAACAAGAACGCAATTGATTGGCCACTGCTGAACTGAGCAGCGTCGTAACAAGAAGAACAAGCAGCGAATAGTCCTAATTACGACCCAACGCTTCCGCCATATCAAAACCCGACCACGACTGATGATTCGCATTCCGCAATGATTGCCAGCACACGGCAACCAATCATTCGCGCTTACTTGGATCGCCTTCAGCTGCATTGGAACCTATGGCCGGACAGGAACCAGTTCTGCATGGCCTACTATTTCGCATGGACCCGGGATGCAACGAACGTGTGACACACTTCGAGTCCCGGTTGCAGTAGCAGGTTTTTCTTTCACTAACTGACCTATTATAAAAAGTCCGCAATGGGAAAGTTGACTGGGCGCTCGCTCGTTTGTGACTCCGCTAAACACTTTACTAACCTTCGCTCGAAACCGTGTTGAAGAAAAGCAGGAACAGCAGTAGGATTATCCTCGGCAGAATCTTCATTTTGGGTGTGGGGGGTACAGACTGTTTGTCAGAAATATTTGTTGGTATCTTCTTTATTGCACACACGACTACCGGCAGCTTCCACTGGATTATATCACAATCGAGATTTTCTTTCACATAATTCTTCCGTCATCAGCATCGTACGCATCTCATCCACTTCACCGAGATTGATCGATTCTCATCGATGGCTGCTGCTTATTGCATTCCACATATTTTTTTTTATAACTCAGCTTAAATTTTCATCCAATCTTCGTAAACACGTAGCTAGAATTTCATTAGCATCACATTTTGAGCGTCACTCACACAGCCGCAGCATGATCGACTTCTGTCTGCTGGTATTTTGTATTTTCCTATATCCAAATTTTCACTCAATCATCGTTATTCAGAATGGGGAAATTTAAAATAAAACGGTTAGGAGCTCACTCCTTCCACCAATCAACCAAAGCACTCCCCCTGTAGCGGTATCTATGGAAACTGCGCACTGTCACAGTAGGCACCACCGAATGGTTGCACAACCCATTTCTGCAAGCAACAACTTTGTCACCGTCGAAAGCAAAAATTCCGGAAGCAACGCGAACAGATTTTTCACACTCTGCTGACACAACAATAGCAGTACCTGCTCTGATCTGGACTCACTCTTTTCTTCCGACACAGCAGACACTCGGGTAAGGTAATTTGCTTTGAGCCAGCCGCGGAACGGCGGAGAAAAACGAAGAAAACGGTCCACCCGGAGTGGATGGCGTTGCGCGAATAAGCCCAAGTCTGCTGCGATGAGCCCATCAACCGGCAGAGGTGGCTGTTGGTGGCTCTTGTGCGAAAAAAAAGCTCCTGCTCTTCTTGCTCACTAGTTTTGCCATAACAGGCAAGAAAGAAAGTACCAAAGAAAGCAATCGAGAGCAGAACAGGTGAGAGATCTGGCCATGATCGTGCCGACGAATTCCGGTGGAATGGAGGAAAACAAGCTTTCGGTGGGAGTGAGAGATGGAGACAGGTGCACGGGTTTGCAGAAAATGAGCTTTGCTCGGAGAGTGATTTTAGATAATTTCTCAGATTGCAAAAGTAAATGAAAGTCGGAGAAGTTGTCCGGTATGAGCTTTCAGGTTTTGGAGAGTTGTGGAGAGTTTGGGTCTGGATAAGGCAGTCCCGTTGATGCCGGGTTGAGGTCCTAGAAAATGTATGCAGGGGCGGGTAGCTTAACGGAACTACAAGAACTTGTAACATTGCCATTTAAAATGCATTGATATACAAGTTACAAATCGTTGTAGACTTTATCGTGCTGATAATAATGCCAGGCTGTTAGGCAACAATTTTGGACACTTTTAAAAGTTAAGTCCTTGTCATGCTCAAAATAGCAAACCTCCACGTTAATGTAACATAATTACTATGTAAAATTAAAATAGGCAGCTATTTGGACACGTAAATGTTATTATCTTCAGAAAATTATAACTATATACACTTAGAAATTATTGCCGTTTTTCCGAACAACTTTGACCGTCATTTCAAAAGCTGTTTTACTAAATTTTAATTTCAAAACACTGTCAGCCTTGTTTAAATAATCGAGTCTTGCCATTGCGGTGAAGTTTTCCTTGTTTTAAAGCTTTAAAACTAGAAATACTCAGAGGGAGAGATGGGCGGAGAAAATAAAATACAATTCGGCAGCAGGGATTTGTACCTAAATTATCTTGCAACCCTTGCTAGAAGCTAGCATTTCACATGACTTTTATTTTTGATTCAATTTACGTGCAAAATAATAATTGATTGCATCGCAATATTTTGCACATTTCTTGGTGCTAACTAATTATATTGATCAATTAATCAATAGAGTTAGAATATTGTGTTTGATTCCAAAAACTAGTTGAATTTAAGAAGCACACGAACATAAAGGTGATTGCATTTCTATTCGATTGCAATACTCTCAAATTTAATCTAGTAAGAATAAAAAACCCTTGGAAAAATTCTAATGGCAATGTTCGATTGGCTCAGATTTTGACAGTTCATTCTTTTCGCCCATCTCCCCCTCGGAGTATTTCTCTTAAAAACTAATGAATTAAAATGCCTGATTACTGAACAGTTCAGCTGTTGAAAATTCGGTAAAAATTACTGAAGTCGGTAATAATTTCTACGTGTGTAAAGAGTTTGATAAAATTATTTTTCAATTTGATTAATACTTAAATTTTGTCATTAATAAGTTGCTCGGTCTCCATTACCTTCGTAGACAAATTCGATTATTTGTCCTCCTGTGTTTTTCTCCATGGACTTGTTGTGTGCCATCAGACCTTCAGTAGATGCCCGGTTTTTGATATTAAAGGGTGATACGGTCAAAATTTGGTCAAGGGAAAACGCGTGTAAATCGGTGAAATCGTTTATTTAAAAAATCAAATTAAATTTCTTTTCCAAGTTCAATTAGTATAAAATTCAGGAAAAATATTCAGTTAGGCTTCCGCTTTTCCAAATCCGAATTGCCGGGCCTTACGCTTGACCCCTGCCATCAGATTTTGTACAGCTACCTTGTCCACCTTCTTCGCCGCAGAAAGCCAGTTTGCCTTGAACTGCTGCTCGCCCTTAGCAGTTTTTTTGGTCTTCTTTAGGTTCCGCTTGACAATAGCCCAGTATTTCTCAATTGGGCGGAGCTCTGGCGTGTTGGGAGGGTTCTTGTCCTTGGGAACCACCTGCACGTTGTTGGCGGCGTACCACTCCATGGCCTTTTTACCGTAATGGCAAGATGCCAAATCCGGCCAAAACAGTACGGAACAACCGTGTTTCTTCAGGAAAGGCAGCAGACGTTTATTCAAACACTCTTTCACGTAAATTTCTTGGTTGACAGTCCCGGAAGCTATGAAAATGCTGCTTTTCAAGCCGCAGGTACAGATGGCTTGCCAAACCAGATATTTCTTTGCGAACTTTGACAGTTTCATGTGCTTGAAAACATCTGCTACCTTTCCCCTTCCTTTTGCCGTATAAAACTCCTGTCCCGGAAGCTGCTTGTAGTCGGCTTTGACGTAGGTTTCGTCGTCCATTACCACGCAGTCAAACTTCGTCAGCATCGTCGTGTACAGCCTCCGGGATCGCGCTTTGGCCGTCGTATTTTGTTTATCATCGCGATTTGGAGTCACTACCTTCTTGTAAGTCGATAGTCCGGCTCGTTTTTTGGCTCGATGCACGGTTGTAGACGATACACCCAGCTTATTTGCGGCATCTCGGAGAGAGAGGTTAGGGTTTCGCTTGAAACTACCGGCAACTCTCTTTGTCGTCTCAGCGGCTTCCGGTTTTCGATTTCCCCCCGATCCAGACTTCCTGGCTATCGACAAACGTTCCCCAAACACTTTAATTACATTTGTAACGGTTGATTTGGCAACTTTTAGCGATTTTGCCAACTTTGCGTGCGAGTAGCTCGGATTTTCGCGATGCGCGAGCAAAATTTTGATACGCTGCTCTTCTTGCTTGGACGGCATTTTAACAACTGAAGAGTGAATTCCAAAATCAAAATAGGAGCAACATTCTACACACACACACACCTTCAAAATGAGGGGTGTTCAGGTTTTTTAAATGCCAAATTGAAAGAAATACGTCAAGTTGATATTGACCAAATTTTGACCGTATCACCCTTTAGTGGCCAATTCCTGGATGCGGGTTTTCTTCGCGTGTATTAAGTTCTTTAACACTATCAAACTTCTTTTTTTCAAATACCTGTAGATCGGTCCTTAAATTTAAGGAGCTCGGCCAGCTTGATGGCTGACGCTTTTGCTTACTGAGTAGAAGATCGTGAGTTTACTCCCAAGCTCCTCCTATATATAAATAAAATCATTGCAATGGTCGCATCGCCTGCTTAAGCGAATCCTGACCCATACCCATACCACCATCAAACTCCGAAGCATCTATGGGGACGTCGGTGAGTCGCTGGCCTCTCATTAAGTAGATGTTACATCAACAATATCCTCTCTTCCCCGTAAAGGAGAAGATGGGCGTGGCCGGCAATGGTAATTGTCATGCTTTTCCTGTTCTAAGCTTTGATTGGAGAACTATTCACTCCCAAATAGTTTTCCTTAAGCAATCAGAATAAGAACGTGTTAAAGTTGATACATGACAGTTGCCAGTATGCAATCTACGAATTACTCCGTTACAAACGCAACGCAACGCTGGGCTGGGTTACCAAAACTACAGGTAAATATGTAGTTCTACAGATTTTTCAGAGTTTTTAAAACCAAGAGTCTGTATTCACAGGTTACAGATTTTTAGGATTTAAACAGATAAAACAGATTTTGATTAAATATGATCAAGCCAAGGGGCAAGACAGCTCCTAATCATGAGCAATTTCAGAGTTGCTTTTGAGGCATCTCGAGTAACTCACATTGCTCAGTGAGCAAGATTGCTGTCATTTGATTTCTCATTTTTCGCATCACAGCAACATTTGAAGGTGCACCATCTCTCAGTTTAATAACCTTCGTTCGACCCTTACCAACCTTGAACGTGAAAAGAACCTGTTCCAACCTTACACTTACGACGGTCGAATGCTTATCTGGTTGATGTGGTAGAAAACCCCGAACTGTGTGACCAAATACTCAAAATCGATACTCGTCGAAAAAATCCCGTCCCATCGCTTGACGAGCTGCCGTTGGATGGAACTGCGAACCGAGCTCTGAATTACCACGGCGTCGTTTCGCTGACGACGGACACCCATCCCCGCTTTTGGTGCTTTTACTGGGCCATCCGGATGGTCGTAATACGGTTCCGTTTTTGCTATAGGTACACCACTGAGATTGAGCTGCGGACGTCGATTTGTACTTCGTTTTCCTGACGGGTTTTCACTTCGATTTCGTCCGGTAGATCGTCAATGGGTTTGAAGTTCAAACGAGGATTGCACTCATCGGAAACTGCAGCTACTTCATCGTCATCCTCCTATTCGGCTTCGACAGTGGCAGTGGCTGCACTGATGCTCTGGTTGAACATTCCACGGGGTAATGGTTTGTAGCGTTGTCTTCGGAGCTGGAATTGGGCGTTAATCGGTTGTTGCCCCACCGGAGAGATATTGTCTATACCGGAAACTGTGGCGGCGGGTGACGTTGGAGGGACCATGGTT